CCTAAGTAAGACGGGGCCCCTATCACACATTCGTGCCAAGCATCGCCCCCCACAAGAGCTACCGCACGCAGCCGCAGCACGCCCCACACTATGTTGTCCGATGTGTCACAAGGCCATGGGCAACGCTGAAGGACTGGTAATCCACATAAAATGCAAGCACCCCGGCGGACCAATTAACAGAACGCAAGGCCCAAACATAGACACACCCAAACAGCCCCAGCGAGAGAGAGAAGAACACCCCGATTTTCACGCCGCTGCCATAAAGTAGGAAAAAGATAAAGCAGAATTACCACATCGCGCAAAGCGCACGGGAGCGGGGGGGCCCCTCGCGGCAAAAAGTGGGTTTTTTTTTGGGGGGGGCCCTTCAGCCAATTCAGATTGTATGGGGCAAAGGGGCGCCTAGTAGAAAATTAAAAGAATTATTTGTCACAGAATGTTTTTTTCAAACCCTTCTTTTATAACCCTTAATATCTCTGACATCTTTTGGTTCGATGGAAAGTAATGCACACAATGCTATGCACAAAAAACACATGATTCATACAACGCGCCGCTAATGCATGGCGGGGTGCTGGTGAAGACATGTAAACGGAAAAACATGGATTAAAAGCGTTATTTTACAAACGACGACGATATCGAGAACTTATAAATGGAGATTCAAAAGGTTTCCAAGTAAAGTCTGTGAAATCTGTATCGGAATCAAGAACGCCCTTATACTTCAGAGGTGCCCAATTCCACTAAGACGTATTTGCATCATGGTGGTGCCCTGGTGGGAATACAAGCCTCCCTCTACCAGAATGGGGTAATAGCCGAGTGCTCCATTCAAGCTGGCTAAGTTCTCACTGAAGAACTCTGGGTCATGTGTTTTGGTCTTTGCTTGTTTAACGCTCGTGTGCAAGAGAAAACCTGAAAGCACTGAAGCCGGCAGGTCGGACGAAGACATCTCCCCTGTGGAGCCAGTTGTGGCTTTTCTGGGGTTGTCTCCTTTGCTAAGGCTACAAATACGTGAGAAGACTTTCTTAGTATTAATATAAAACAATGTCATTTGCGTCCTCTGTGTACTCTCAGAGATCTTTCCAAAATAAGAATGCATATCGAAAAGGCAATGTTCGCTTTACTTTTTTTTTCGCCTCCGCCAGGGTGGTGGTGTTTAGCGTATCGCTTGCGTTTTAAACTATGTTTTTTATCGTGGCAATCCCTCCACACTATATTTTGACATCGCTTTGTGCAGGGTATTTGCGTAATATTTCTTACGCCACTTAAGGTTGGCGGGTATATTTACCGCTGTGAGGTAGTTTTGTAGTCTTCGTTGTCGCGGAAAGCTACCTTTTTTCATGACGCGGAAGCATAAAAACCTATTATAAACTTAAATGTACAATATTATGGCTGTCATCGTATAAAAAGTTGCATTGTAAATAGGTAGCTTTTGCCCCTGGATGTAGCCATTGGCATAAAAGGTCAGCGTGTGACCACTTTAATCGATAGCACATTTATGAAAGTCTTTCGTCATCAAAGCACTAAATTGCACCAAAGTTCTAACAGGTATCACTTAATTCTTGTGCCTTATCATATCCCATTCTGCACTGATTTTCCCCTCAAATTTTGAAACTACATATCGCTTGCGCTTCTTTTCACACGTTAATTCGGACCGGTTGAAGGCTAAGAGATGTTTATTGGACAAGCTGGCCATTTTCTGGATCTTATATTTTTATATTTGTTGCTTCTTGGATGTGTCCGGTTGCCTAGCTGACCAAACCTTAGCCACATTCTCTTCAGTTTGCCTTTCAAGGGGGTGAAAAGCATATTTGTGAAAATTCCTCTGGGGAACAAATTCTTTTTCTTTCACCGGCAATCCATTGCCCCACACAAAAAAAAATAAAGGCAAATATACCATACGGCGGGAAAGAAAAGAGCGTAAATCAAAACATGTACCGTAAATAGTTGGGGTCAAATTGACTTGGTTTGAAACATTCGGATCACAATCGGAACAACCTCGGGATCAAAGGTTCTTTCGGATATGCGCTGGTTCTTCATTCGGTGGGCACTTTCCTGTGGCATTGGGACGTTGGATGCCTTTTCTGAAATGCTTGAGGGTCTAAGCCTAATAATCAAAAACTTAAATTCCAGAGTAAGTAAGCAAGTTGTCAGCCAAAAAGTACCTCTTAGAGATTAGCCGTGGGAAATGCCAGAGGTTTACAAAATACCCTTTATTGGTGCAGAGGCAGGTTTGTCTTTTTCACATTAATCACCAATGGTAACACTTTTCAAAATGAAGAAATGATAAATTTTTGTAAATTATGTCCTGCATTGCGAGATTTCATTCTATAGGAACCAATGCGCACCTACTAAGGGTTAATTTTATATTTTTGCCGAGACCTCTCTAAACCGCTAGAAAGCTGGGTGGCATCATAACACTTCCTTAAATAGAAGCAATAGAGTTTTTTCGGGTGATTTCCGTGCTTGATGTCATTGTTTAAAAGAACTGAGTGAATCCACACCCCTGACTTCATTCATGTGGACCCCAAAAACATTCCGCACTTTTTATTCCTCTGCACCTTATGATTGTATTTCAAAAGGGGTTTTTGGATTGTGAATGGTTTCCGCTGAGGGGGCCTCTCCTTCGGTAGTTGCTGCAAACCCAAAGTCCTTTCCATGCTGTCAAAAGTTCCTTCAATACTTCAGTCCGGCAGGGCTGCAGACCGTGTCTGGAGGGGTGCTTAAAAAATGAGCGAATAGAATCAATTAGGAACGTAGTCCAAGCTCTTCCACTAGAGGCTTCCGCTATTCAGAGAGGGGGGCCTTCGACACATCACCATCTGAAACTCTGGTGTCGTTGTTTTTCCTCAGCTCTGAGCGTTCTACTCATGCCAAAAAGCGCCAGTATAAGTGATGCGGGAAATGAAACGTCAAACAGTTTTGGGACTGTAAAACAGGATTTTTCACAGAATACAGTTATGTACGGGCGCCGCGGGCGTGGCGCGCACAGTGGGTCGCACCGCCCTGTGCAAGCAGCCGCCGGCAAAACCCAAAGACCCCCAACCGTTGACATATTGCTCTTCGAAAGCCTTTTTTCTTTATTTATCAGTTTAGCTCTTTTCATAGTAGCCGTTTTGCAAAGTATAAGGCTTTGTGTGCTGGTTTTGGCCGTGGGGTCGTGGGCGTGGCGCCGGCTGCTCTATCAGAAGGGGGCCGCCTGCCTGCCCCCTGCGGTCCGGAGTGGAAGGGAAATAGTGCTATCGTATAAAAGTGCGGCTGTGTTCTCCGTCGGTAAGGGGACTTTTTTTATGGGCACTATTCTGGCTGAATATAGCCCTAACGCGGTCCCTATAAAACCGGCAACCCCCCAAGCGCGCGCCGATCTGGGTTTTTGCGGTTGCAGTGCTAGGTCGCTTAGCGCTTGCGGTGCGATGGTGTGCTGGATAGGTGTGTGATTTAAAATTACTTTGCTTGAGGTGGAAGAAATGCTTTTCTTGTGTAGATCTAGAGTGCCATCAAACAAGTTTAGGGCGCGACGACTCGTGCTACAATTTAAAGTGCACTTGCTTTCCATTGCATTGGTTTTTTTTTTGGGAGCCTGCGATAGGAATGGTCAAGCCTTGCCCTACTTGCTGAGAGGGGTCCTATAACTTAAAATAATGCGTGTCTTCTTATCTTGCGTAAGGAAAGTGTCGCAAAGCGTAAGTTTGAAACACCCACCCAACCCAACCCTCTCCGCCTCCGCGCGGGAGGCGGGTTAAGGGCGCTTTCAGCACCTCCTTTTCGCCAGTGGGACTACAAGCTTTAACTTCCTTATAAGGGGAAGGCCTTGAGGTTACTGGATGTCCCCCTTTCTATGTGTACCAGGGGCAGGGGGTTTCCAAATGGGATCTGGATAAAAGGTCTCGCTTACTCTCTCTCTCTTACTCTTTTACTCAATGGGGGAAGGTAAGGTATAGACCATTCTTGGGTATTTTGTTCTTCGTTTCGTTGGGCCGGTCCGCTGAGGAAGCGCGCGCGGAAGGAATCGGAAAGCCGTTTTCCTCAACCCGGAATCTCGAAAGCCTACTCGCCCCGTTGGCCTTAGCTCTCCCAGGGGGAAAGCACATTCGGCGTGAGATCAACAAAAATATAGAGGGGAGATGGAGCTTAGAGGGGAGAGAGGGCCATTCCTGGACCTGTATGGTTGGCGTCGGTTCCGTTGGGGGGGCCGTTGAGGACGAAGCCTTTCCACTGCGAGCGGGGATTGGGCCAACTTCTGCATGAAGCATAACTTCTTCACGCCGCCCCCACCCACCCCAAAGTGACAGCATAGACCCTTTAATGCGAGACAGCTCAGTAAGTGCAGGCTCGTCTCTTCGCACTGTTCACGTTGGCTTGGTTTCACTGCGTCCGGCCTGAATCTATGGTTGACGATGCGGTGCCTTGTGAGTCCGTGTTTGCTGTGACACTGGAATCCGCACGTTGGACACAGAAAGGCAGTGAGAGGCAGTTCCTCGGGGGCATCCTCCCGAAGCCTCCGGCGTTTTCCCGTTGGTGGAACCCCCTGGCCCTCATGAAATCGTCTGCAGTGCGTTCGAACTGAATCAATAGCAGCAAACCATTTCAAACACACCAAGCATTGTGTTTCCCCCCGCCGCTCGGGCGGTAAGGGGGTGGCCGGCATCACCAAGGAATTTATTTTATCTAGAGTAAAACCAATGGAATGATCTGGAGTGCGAAAACGGGAATGCGACTCAGACTGTAGAGAGATAGCATAGCATGCGGGAGATACTGGGACCGATACCCAATTCCTACATCCTTAGGCCTTAAAGATGGAGAAACTGCATATCGATCCNGTTTCCCCCCGCCGCTCGGGCGGTAAGGGGGTGGCCGGCATCACCAAGGAATTTATTTTATCTAGAGTAAAACCAATGGAATGATCTGGAGTGCGAAAACGGGAATGCGACTCAGACTGTAGAGAGATAGCATAGCATGCGGGAGATACTGGGACCGATACCCAATTCCTACATCCTTA